AATCTCTTTTTTGCCTGTTTTATTCATCTGTGCATCACAAACACCTAGAACAGTAGAACAGTATCTGAGACATAATGAGTGCATAATGAATATTTGTTGAACAAAGAAATGATTGCATGCTGGCCCTCCACTCAGACACCACCTATATTAGTTCACTTCTCCTTACTATAAAGAAATACCTGAGACTAGGTAATTTATTTTATTTTTTTTTAAGTTTATTGACTCACAGTTCTGCATGGTGCCGGCTTCTGCTCGGCCGCTGGTGAGGTTTCAGGATGCTTTTCCTCCTGGAGGAAAGTAAGGAGAGACAGTTTGTTACACGGTGAGAACAGGAACAAGAGAAAGGAGATACCAGGCTCTTTTAAACAACCAATTCTCCCATGAATAGAGCTAGAACTCTTCAGTAGGGCACCAAGTCACTCATGTGGGATCTGGTCACATGATCCAAACACCTCCCACAACACTGGAGATCCCATTTCAACAGAAAATTTGGAGGTGATAATATCCAAACTATACCACCACCTAAGGAAAAAATGAAGACAAAGTCATGGAAGAAAAAGCAGTGAAGGACTGTTCAGCATGGCGGCTGGTCTCCCATGGAGATACTTTACTCATCACCAGGTGGCTGTCTTGTGCATTTGCCACCCAAAATTCTCAGCAAATACCAAAAATCTGCAGAGGAAGCCCACCAAATCCACACTAACAGCCTCTAGGCATGAGCTTGCAGGAGAGATTCAAATCACAAGGCAGGGACTAGCAAAACATTTTTCTGGTTGGAATTCATGAAACATTATTAGTTGCATATTTTGGTTTTATTACATTGCATGCAACAAGATTTACTGGAACTGTTGTAGATAATTTAGATCCTCAAGCGCTGTCTAACACAAAGGCCTACTTCCAAAGGAAAGGTCTCTGAAGCTTCTGTCTAGAATATTTTGTGGTTAGCTATTTTAAGCTGCAGAATGTACCTTTTAATAAAACAGGAATGTACCTGGGGCTTTTAGAAAGCCTGCTTTCATTTAGATAAAAGCACTTTAAAATATAATAGGGTTTATACTCCCAACCCCTCCCCAACTTGGGCAAGGAAGAAGGTCTGAATCTCCCACAGGTCAGCCATCTATCCAAAGGTGCTGAGGGAGCGAGGCTCCTTCCAGAGATACATGCACTTTGGAACCACTTTCTTGTGAGTCTGCACTCCTGTGCTGAGGATCAGGAAAATGAGGAACGTGTCCCCAAAGCTTTGTTCTGTAACTTCTTCTGTAGATAATTGGTGGTAGGGATAAGGAAGGTGTGAACATCTGGTATTTTACTTTTTTCAACCTATTCACCCCTAGGGCTTTTTGCTCCCAACCATTAGCTAAGTTATCTTGCTTTTCTGTGGCAAGGGGCCTTTCTTACTTACTATTCTATTTTCTTCCTGTACTCCATTGTGACTTATAGTAAAATTTCAAGCTCACCCTTCCCAGCCCAACCCTCAATGCATAAAGAGAAGTGTTTTATATAAAAATTATTTCTTCCCTCAGTAAGCCAAGTATTCCACCCTGGTTTCTTTCTAGGCACTCAGCATCATTTAATTTAAGACTTAGAAGGAAGTATGTGACCCTTTGTTCTTAATTGTATGAATTTACTCAGCCATTAAATAAATGAATCAGAGGAGCAAAAGGTTTTAGAACAAAAGGTATTAGCTTTATATATCAAAAATATGATCTTTATAATATTGATAACAAAGAAAAGGCATAAGAAAAATTATAAAATCTCAGTGGTTATATGGGGAACTCTATACATATGAAAATCTGGAGAGGAATGCTATAAAATGTGGACAGTAGCATGAATTATCAAGAAGGAATACCATTAAATAAATAAATTGAAGAGATAAAATCTGAGAAAGCAAACAAGAATTAGGAGCGTCTTGCAGAAGTCATAAAAGGAAATAGAAAACTATTATTTTAAAGTGTCAGAGTAGAATGTGTTATTGCAATTTTAAAATTCAGGAAGTAAGTAAATTTTGGTAGCAATTTTTGTGATGCCAACTCCCAATAAATTTTGTTTAATAGTTCCACAAGTTGTATACACTAACATATCATAAAAACATAAGTAAATAAGAAATATATACCTTTTATACATCTATTATATAGTCCTTACCTATTCCATTATATTTTGGTTTAGATTATATGAAGGGTCTCTATTATTTCTAATATTTAGAGTATATATTCCTGACTCTGACTCTAGTTACACAGAGGAAGACTAAAACCCCAATTTAGGCAATAACTTTTTTTCAGTCTCAGTGCGATTTTCTCTGTATCATTCAATTATGTCAAAAACAGTGACTGTGTTTGTTCTAGGAACTTAACTGAACCAGATGGTTCTTCAGTGGCCCAAATAGTCTAATTTATCAAATTAAAACCTCACTTTATGTAAGAAACTAGTAGTGTTTCTATCATTTACAGAAAAATCCAAACATATTATAAATGATTATAATCAGTGTGGAAGCTTCTGATTTCACAACATAAGACAGCTTATAAACATAAAGGTAGCTTTGTTTTGTGAATTCAACCTGCAATTAAGAAATTCAAATATGGTGACTCTTTTGAAATGTCTGCATTGTTTTTATTCTTTTTAAGTTTTAACATAAATCTTTGAGATTTCTGTATGGTTGGACTTTAACTTTTATACAACAATATTTATTGCTTTGAGTTCAGTGTGTTCTTTACCTTTGATAGCATGATGATACATGATCAAGATATCCTGAATTGGAACAGAAGTATTAAAGCATGTTCCATAGTATTGGATCAGCTCTGTAACTTCACACAATATTGAAAACTGCCATGTCACAAAGGTCTTCACCCATCAAGTAATCCATTGCAAAATTGCCTTTTTTAATAACCCACAATTTTTTGCAATTTCGTGTGTCAATACTTAAATTCAGCTTAAAATATTTTCTGACAAGCAATATCAAAAGAACGAAACAAAGAACTTAGCTGATTTTCATAAATGTGATTCAACAATCCAACAAGACAACTTACTCATCTTTGCCTTAGCAGTTACCTATTGGTAAGTGGCAAGTTTGATACATGTGTGACAGTAGGAGCAACACTTCAAAGGTCAACAACATCATCAGCCTCACCTGCTAAATACTAAAAAAGAAATGACTGAGAAAAGAATAACAATGTTAATAACTTGTAAGAATTTAAAGAATGTTAATTCTAAATCACTCTATAAACAAGCATTTAGAAAGGATTTGTTAAGTAACAGATTCAATGTTGAATTACATTTTCCTTAAAAATGATTGTCAGCTGGGGTTAGGCAGCTCAGTCTGTAATCCCAGCACTTTGGAAGGCCAAGGCCAGTGGATTGCCTGAGCCCGCGGGTTCGAGACCCACCCGGGCAACTTGGGGAGACCTCGTCTCTACAATAAATCAAAAAAATTAGCTGGGTGTGGGAGCGCGCGCCTGTACTTCCACTACTTGGAAGGCTGGGGCAGAAGAATCAGCTGAGCCCAGCAGGTCGAGGCTGTGTTGGCCAGGAGCGTGCCGCTGTACTCCAGGCAACAGAGTGAGACACCAACTCAAAAAAAAAAAAAAAAAAAATGATTGTCATTGAAGAATAAAGTGATCCAATGGAGCAAAAGGGATTAGAAAATAATGGATGGAGAAAGGAATCTTTAAATGTTGTTTGCTTTGTTTCAATCTGAGGAAGAGTATGGTATCAAAAAAAGAGGAGATATATACTTGATGAGAGTTTAGGTTGCCATGATAGCACCAGACATCTCAGCTTTCACTTAAAGGATATTACTAGTTAAGGAAACAGGAGAAAAAAGCGGAAATCTTACACTAATTTTCATAGCCTATGAGAAGCAATAATACATAGAGAAGGTGAGGAGCAAGGAGCTAGAGACATGAAATTCTCATCAGACAAACAATATACTAGAATGCTGTATAAAATGTAACATTGCATTTTATTTATTCCACATTATTCAAAATATCGATTCCCAGCTTTGCTTCTTAAATTACAGCTGGCACTGTAAATTAAGAACAGTGAGGTTATGAAAGTCTTTTTTCTTTTTTTTTCTTTTTTTTTTTGAGTTGGAGTCTCACTCTGTTGCCCAGACGGGAGTGGAGTGGCCGCTCCCAGCCACCGCAGCCTCGACTTGCTGGGCTCTGGCGATCCTTCCATCTCAGCCTTCCAAGTAGCTGGAACTACAGGTGCGTGCTACCATGCTTGGCTAATTTTCGATTTGTTGTAGAGATGAGGTCTTGTCAAGTTGCCCAGGCGGGTCTCGAACCCGCGGGCTCAAGCAATCCACTCACCTCAGCCTCCCAAAGGCATGGGATTACAGGCTGAGCCACCGAGCCGGCTGAAAGTCTTTTTTTCTTAATGGTATTATGTACTGAAAGGAAGTGAAGTTGAAAGGCAAAATGTATTTAAATGTGGTTAGCATTGGTGTGTGTACTCTACTGAAAAATAAACTGCAATTTCGCTTGGAATTGCAATCTCTGCTATAAAGGAAAATGTGCCTTTTGAAAGAGATCGTGTATTCGATTTAATGTGGCACTCATTTAAAAATTCAAGTATCTGAATTTTAACTACTTTTAGGTTACTTAACTTTCCTAGTATTTCAATTCCCTACTAGTAAATCAAGGAGGGTAACACTTTTGTCTCTTGAAAATATTGTAAAGACACTTTTTTCCTTCTCAACTTAATATAAAATGTTCTAAGAAAGTATCATATTTTTGTTGTTTAAAAAAATATGCAAGAAGTTATTACTTGCTTATTCTTTTTAAAGTGCATATCAATTATTTAACCTAGTTGGAATATTTCTGTTCCCATTACAGGTGTCTAATTCATTCCTTTTCCATTTTGTGTTTTTCCTGTTTGCCAAACCAGCCATATGTCCCCTACGTAGTATTTGAAACCCAACACTGAATTGCCGTCTCAGGAAGTGTATGCTGTGTACAACGCTTTTGTGGCTATATGTAGGAACCGGACTCTGACTTATGGAAAGTTCCTTAGGTTTACTTTAATTTTCCTTTTATTTTCCTTGACAGTAAAATTTTCTGGAGGATACAATCAAGATAGTGTATTATTAGAAATAACATTAATAGAAGTTTGGTCATAAATGATAATAGTCATAATATAAGGATCTCTCTTGCCAAGGCATTCCACACAGAGAGATAACAGCACAATAAATAGATATTCTTATTTGTCACACAACAAATAAAACAAAATTGCAGTAACAAAAATGTGACTTTATAAATGTTCTTTTACTAAAAATAAAAGCAAAAATACGAGATCATGCACTGAAGACAAGAGCTAAAAGTGAATAGTTACAGCATAAAACATTGCAAAAGATAAAAGTATTCAAGTATTGAGACAGAAAGGGGAAAATATTCAAATAGAATGGTTTCAGAATAAATCAATTATATTTACTACCCTAGGAGGGACACTGACACAACTGTCTTTGTCCATTAATACTTGATGCTGTCAGAATACATGCTACTATCCATTTGAGGGACAGATTCCATTTCCTTGGAGCATAATTCATATTACAAAGATGGAGTGAAATGTATTGTTTACCTTAATTATAAGTAGACCATAATACTACAGAAGAAATATTCTCAGGAACAGTCTAGTGTGATGGTCAGAAACAGCAGGAATCTGGGAGTCAGAAAACATTGACTTTAGATGTGTTTCCATCACTGTCTATGAAAAATTCATTTGAGATAGTCATCTCATAAATATCCTTTGAGATACTTCTCAGTCCAGAAATAAAATTCCACTTCATGTTTCGATTTTGCTTTAAGAGTTGAACCACTGGAGCTAGTAGAGAGCAGTGAAAATAATAATAAAATAGCTTAACATTTTTAACAATGCCTAATTTTTAAAGCATTATTGAAAAAAGTTGGATCATTTAATACAATTAAGAATTGTATAATGCTTTAGTGGGGTTTCTCCTACAGCATAGCAACCCTTCCTCAGCATAACTAATCTAAGCAGTGCCTTTACACATGACAATTGAATAGTATATCAGATTTGAACATGGCTAGTTTCTACATGATTAGGAAAAACATGTTCGTCATGGGAGTAAAAAAATAAAATTTGTTTGTTAAATTACACATAAATATAAGGTACAAATGTATTTTTAAAATACAGATTAAAATAATCACACTTGCATTGTGTACATACGAAAATACAGTATTTAATATTCAATATACACAGACACATTTATGATAAATGCAACTATTTGGCAACGCCAGCTCTTTCAGGCTTTTTTTTTTTCTGTCCCTCATTTCCATACATATGGAAACCACACTGCTTTGCTAAAATCTCCTAGCTCTGGCGGACATCTTGAAGCAATTTGTTGATCTCAGCCACTAGCTCACTGGCATCCATGAGTTCGTGTTTCCCATCATTGAGGTGGTTGAGCACATTGTCAAAATCATCTTCTTCATAATTTTCAGGGATCTCTTCCATGGCAGGCAGCCATTTGGAAGAAGGCTGCACACTGGAGTGAGTTCCAAGTGGGGGCCCAGAGCTGCTATTGGTGGGGTTTTGGAAATGTGTACTGGCTGCCCAGGCTGCCACCCCTTGTGGGTATCCCACAGTTTTGGCTGGCAAGGATCCCTTCCGGCGCTCCAGGGAGTTGGACCGATCCACCTCAGTGCACTCAGAATAGGTGTCCAGGGATGAGGGCAAAAGGCGCTGGAACACACTGCTCATTTCTGAGAGCAGAGAGGAAGTGCTGGTGTCCCCAGTGTCCTCATCATTTGGGGAGTCCTTCCCAAAGGTGGAAAAACTCTTCTTTTTCTCACCAGAATCTGCAGGCTGGGTGTCATCCTCAAGACCCTGATGGGAATGCTGCTGCTGAGGCTGTGACGGGAATTCTTCTCCTGGAATGAACATATTGCTTCTATAATCAGAGGATGGGGAGGGCAGCGGTGGCATCCAGCACTGGTCAGAATGACCTAGGACTCTGCACTCCTCCGTGCAAAGCCTCATAGCTGCACTCGAGGAAAACAATGGGGACTCATTATTATACTTAGCATACTCAAAGGATGCAAACAACCTGATTTCATTATTTAAAAAATAAAAGGAGACAGTTTTAAATTATTTCCATGATGCTAACTCATTATTATACATGTAAGCTGGACTACAAATTATGGCTTTCATGTGAATCTTCAGGAGTAAGAAAAGAAGGGTTATCACCCATGAACTTCTCAGGAATATTGTGCTGCTCAAATACTGAAAAGAAAACAGGTGGATGACTTACACATGAAACAGGTGGATAACTTACACATGTGAGTGTTAAATGCTGAATGTAAATTCTAAAAATTAGACCTGTAAGGTAAAACCTATGACTTTAGAGTGCCAACAGACAATTCTTTCTTTTGTCTATTTCTTTTATTTTTGTTTTTTTTTTTTTTAGAGACAGGGTCTCACTGTGTTGCCCAGACTGGAGTGCAGTGGCTATTCACATGTGCAATCCCACTACTGATCAGCACCGTAGTTTTGACCTGCTCCGTTTCTGACCTGGGCCGGTTCACCCCTCCTTAGGCAGCCTGGTGGTCCCCCGCTCCAAGGAGGTCACCATACTGATGCCAAACTAATTGCGGACAACCAATCGGCATAGCTCACTGGAGCCCGGAACTCCTGGACTAAGTGATCCTCCAGCCTCAGCCTCCCTGGTAGCTGGGACTACAGGCGTGCGCCATCACGCCCAGCAGACAATCCTTGAAGAATAAACGCCTGTGTAACTTTCTCAATACTGAGAACTAACTGAACTACTTTAGTTTTTGATGGAGACATTGAGAAAATAAGCGCTATCAGGTAATTATACGTAGTAATCTATCTTAATGGCCTTAGAAATTATTTATAGACTTCTAACTTAAAATAGCAGTGAAAAGCATCCACCGTACTGGACATCTGCAGTTACCCTGCTAAGAAGTCTTCTTTCAAGGCCAGGCTCGGTGGCTCAGCTTGTAATCCCAGCGCTTTGGGAGGCCGAGGACAGTGGATTGCCTGAGCCCTCGGGTTCGAGACCCGCCCAGGCAACTCGGCAAGACCTCGTCTCTACAATAAATCAAAAATTAGCCGGGCGTGACAGCGCGCGCCTATAGTTCCAGCTGCTAGGAAGGCTGAGTCGGAAGGATCGCCGGAGCCCAGTAGGGCGAGGCTACGGTGGCCAGGAGCTGCACTCCAGTCTGGGTGACAGAGTGAGACTCCAACTCAAAAACAAAAACCAAAAAACATGAAAAATCCATTCCTTAATTCTTCCGGATGCTCTGATGTCCCATTGGAATGTGAGTGGCCACACTCAGGCAAAAATAAGAAGGTATGAGAAAAGCAGAAAAGTAAAGAGGAAAAAAAATCTCTAAATTTGGCAAAAACAGTAATGAAACTGCACAACAATGAGGAAATGCAAAGACATAAAATATGCCACAAGCCACTGACTTATCCCAGTGAAAACTACATCTCTTCAGCATCATGATTTCATCTTAGAGCAAATAAAACATAGAAAAGACAAAATAATTCCCTTATAGTTGAAAGAAAAAGTTGGTATCAGTTATACCTGTGTATTCAGAACTAATTTTGTAGATCTGTCTACTTTAGAAAGAGCTCTCTTCCTCCCAAATTATTGCTAAAAGAGTAACTCTGGAAGAAAGCCAGCTGTCTCCTCAGGGGAAGCAAGTTTTGTCAGTTTCATTCATCATGGCATGCCCATCACCTAGTAAAGTCTGCATGGAGTAGGTATCCACTACATATTTTCAGAATAAAACTTGAAGAAAGTAATGTGCACTTTCAGAAAAAAAGAAATAGTGGTTTTCGTTTTAAAGTATAGAAGTCACTGCTCTTCAATTTTTGAAACCTCGTGGTAATTCTGTTTAAGAAGTCCAAATATAGACCTCAATTTTTAATCAAAAAGGGGATCAAATATTGTCAGTGAGGGGAAAAAAAGCTGAATTGCTAGGAAGGTTGAAAATATAAAGGAAGTAGGAAAAATGCAGAGAAACGTGAAACATCAATTCCATGTAACTCAAGGTAAGGAAAGAAGGTAATCATGGAGAACCACTAGACAATTTTGCAATGAAGAAAGGTTAAATTTAAATCGGGGCTGGGCTCGGTGGCTCAGCCTGTAATCTCAGCGCTTTGGAAGGCCGAGGTGAGTGGATTGCCTGAGCCTGCGGGTTCGAGACCCGCCTGGGCAACTTGGAGAGACCTCATCTCTACAGTAAATCAAAAAAATTAGCCAGGTGTGGTAGCGCGCACCTGTAGTGCCAGCTACTTGAAAGGCTGAGGCGGAAGGATCTCCAGAGACCAGCAGGTCGAGGCTGCAGTGGCCAGGAGTGGCCACTGCACTCCAGTCTGGGTGACAGAGTGAGACTCCAACTCAAAAAAAAAAAAAAAAAAAAAATTAAATCAGCAAGGATGATTACGAATAAAAACTTGCTTAAGATAGTCTGACTTAACACATTATTATAACTTGAAAATATTTACCAACTTTCTGGTTTTTCTTTCATTATTTGGTGTGGACAAAACTAAAAGTAGTTGCAAGTCTTTGAAATGCTTTAATAGCAATGAGGTTTTCTCAGCAGCGAAATAACTATCATAGTGGTAATGATTTTTTTCCTCCCTTCTTCATTCCCTGAATTTCTGAAAATGGAACTGAGACTTGTCTCTGCTGTCTTACTCACATCCTGTCAGAAGGAAGAAGAATAGACCTGCTGACACCTCTTCATTTGTTTTCTGGCCTTTGACTGTAGTCTTAAGCTTGGGAAGGACTTATTTGTTTAATTGATTGTTTGGCTGGCTTTGCTTTAATGCTTAATGACGGAGGGCAGGAAGAAGAAAAAATTACATGGGCTTCTAAGAATGCTGAACGTGACCCAGTCTTCTAGACACCTGAATATAATGAACATGTAACCAACAATACAATGGAACAACACAATCGAGGTAGCTAACACAATTTGAAAGGTAGGGCTCAAAAATAATTCTGGTCATAGGAATTTTAAAACAGCGAGTGCTATTTACAACTTCATCCCAATAAATAAGTGAAACTTTAATTACAAAATAATAAATTAACTTAAGAGAGAGAAATATAATAAGAAAAACTGATTTTGAAAAGTCTAATGGGCTGGGCTCGGCGGTTCAGGCTGTAATCCCAGCACTTTGGGGGGCCGAGGCGAGAGGATTGTTTGAGCCTGCGGGTTCGAGACCCACCTGGGCAACTGGGCGAGACCTCGTCTCTACAAGAAAACAAAAATTAGCCGGGCATGGTAGCTCGCACCTGTAGTTCTGGTTACTTGAAAGGCTGAGGCAGAAGGATCACCGGAGCCCAGCAGGTCGAGACTGCGGTGGCCGGGAGCGTGCCACTGCCCTCCGGCCTGTGACGGAGCGAGACTCCAATACAAAAAGGAAAAAGAAAAAGAAAAAACTAGTGGAGAGAAGTAAGGCAAAAAATAGAATAGGACAGAATAGTAGTGCAGAAGAGGGCATTTCTTGCAACTTCATTGATTCTTTTCAACCTTGTCCCTAGGGACTTGACTGTATGGAAACATTCTCAGTGGGTAAATCATTCAGTGCTGTGAATGTTCCACGCTGCATCCCAGGGACCAGGATTTGCTTGCTGGCTAGTAGTGCAAGTGGTTAATCTTTCTGTCCCTTGCAGAAAGCTGTGCTAGGTGGTTGAGCCTCCTCTAGGGAGTGAGAACTTGGTGGGAGCAGAGGAATCGTCTTTCCCACTAGATGTCTATGAATTTTGTCACAGTACTGTCCCTTATAGGTCGGTGGGGCAAGAAGCAGAACACAGAATATTTTCTAAAAGCATAAGCAAAAACAAAAAATGTGTGTCGCTTCTAAGTCATTAGTCATTAGGTGATTAAATCAGTTGTACACTAACAGCCTGCCATATATGAAGTGCAAAGACAGTACTCAGCCCTCAAAAGGTTTAAGATCTAGCTCTGAGTCAAGTGCATCAAATGAGGTCATATACGCCTGTTAAAGTGTCAAACTAGATAATGCTGAGAACATGTCAAGGAAAAAAAAAATGAGGCCGGGCAGGGTAACATGTGCCTGTTATCTCAGCATGTGGGGAGGCTGAGGCGGGAGGATAGCTTGAGACCAGGAGTTCAAGACCAGTCTGGGCAACATAGTGAGATCTTGTCTTTAGAAAATAAAAAAGTTAGTCAGGTATGGTGGCAAGAACCTTAGCTACTTGGGAGGCTGAGGCAGGTGGATCGCTTGAGCCCAGGTGTTTTGAGGCTGCAGTGAGGTGTAATCACACCACTGAACTCCAGCCTGGATGACAGAGTGAGACCCTGTGTGAAAGGAGAAAAAGGAAGGAAGGAAGGAAGGATGAAGAAAAAAGAGTCTAAGTGGAAACTTAAGAAAAGAAAAAGCCTCGAGACCCGCCTGGGCAACTTGGCGAGACCTCACAATAAATCAAAAATTAGCCGGGCGTGGTAGTGCATGCCTGTAGTTCCAGCTACTTGGAAGGCTGAGGCGGAAGGATCGCTGGAGCCCAGAAAGTCGAGGCTGCAGTGGCTGGGAGTGGCCACTGCACTCCAGTCTGGGAGACAGAGTGAGACTCCAACTCAAAAAAAAAAAAAAAAGAAAGAGCCACTTAAAACAAGCTTTGAAAGATGAATGGGATCTAGATACAGAAAGTAAAGAGAAACCAGTTTTTCAGGTAGGAAGAACACCATAAGCCAAAAATCAATGTGTTAAGTGAAGAGATGCCTCTGCCTATTGCAAAAGACACAAACATGGCAATCTTGAGAATAAGCTAGGAGCGAATTTCATTGGTCCTTAAATGCCAAAATGAATAGTTTAGTTCAGTGTTGCTGGGCAACAAGAGTCAAGTACTAATTTTGAGGCAAAAAATGTAAACTAAAACGTTCTGAAAAGATTGTTCAATTTATATGAAAGAGAGACTTGACAGACAGGAGCTTCTGGAAAGTGGATATCAGCTTGTATACGGATACAGTAAACCAATCCTCGAAGAAAGGCCGGAACATAGCCAGGATACCTACCATGAGAAAGGAGAGAATATAGAACTAAAAGGAATGTTTGCAGTAAGTAATCACAGGTGACAGACTGATGAAAAGTGGAATGAACTCATAAGAAAAACAAAAATCAAAAGCTATCTATGTATCTATTTATTTATTTATTTAGAGTTGGGGGGCTCACTCTGTTGCCCAAGATGGGATGCAGTGGCATGGTCACTGCTCACCACAGCCTTGACCTGCTGGGCTCAGGTGGTCCTTCAGGCTCAGCCTACAGTGTAGCTGTCATGTCTGGCTAATTTCCATAATTTTTTAATGTTTGTTTTGAGATCTTGCTATGTTACCCGGGTTGATCTGGAACTCTGAGCTCAAGCAATCCTCCCAACTTGATCTCCCAAAATGCTGACATTACAGGCATGAGCCACTGTGGCCTCAAAAACCTTTGATAACTCATTCTGGGTAAGCTAACACAATGGGGAAAATGGAGATTTTGCAGGCGTAGGCTTAGTGTTAGAGTTCAAAGTTGAGTGAGTATGAAAGAATGCTGGCAAATGTGAGCCAAGAGACAAAAATGCATGCTGAGTTTACTGCTCAAAACGTAGGATATTTGTGTGGGAATTAATAGCATGAATGACCAGAAATGACCCTGTTGGCAGGCACTGCAACATAACATAATCTATATTTGTTCACAGTCTGAGGCAGAAAAACAGTTGGAATAAGACACTTAAGTCCTAAAAATATCCACACTTTGGAAACTGTGCTGATCTCTTAATGGTATTCAGATGTGGACTTACATTTTTCTCTACTTGAGATATTTCCTGGGAATGTAAGTTTACAACACACAGGTTTTACACCCTGATTCGCCTGTTCAAGTTGCCAGGATAAATAATGAACTAGTATATGGGTCAAATATCAGAATGATCCTTATAATTAAAGGCTAGTTATCTCTGTATAGATATTCAATGTGAACTTTGCAGTCTATACCACTCAAGCATAATTATGCTTTGTGGATCACTGGTGATTTCCTGGTGCTCTGCGACTCCAGGATTACTCCAACTACACTCCACGATGAGGCATATACCAACTAAGGCAGAAATGTGTCTACTGTAATACATTCTGTTGTAATACAATGTTATGCAAAACAGCTCTCCCATCACATACCTGGATTAAGTATGATCGTGTAGATGTGAAATTTATTAAGGACTGTCTATATGGTAAGTGGAGTTATTAATAACAATATAAAAATGATCCTCTAATTTCAAAAAGAAATGTGATATGGATGAAGCTTAACATCATTCACTAAAAAAGATTCACTGTTTTTTTCAGAATTTATCTGTCAACCTATTCTTTTCCCAATGTCTTTATTCCTTAACATTTGTACATCTATTATTATTATTCTTATTATTACTATTATTTGTCCCAAGTGCTAGATAACTCTATTGCCACACACTTACATAGAGGTGGTAACTTTGAAAATATAAAAAAGTGTAACGGAGGAATCTTGACTTGAAAAAAAGAAAGGCTTTTGATTAGCTATTAGAATTATACAATTTCAGAACTAAAAAGGGCTTTAGGTATCATTTAGCCTCACAGTTGGCAAGGTTATCTAAATAGGAGACACCATTCTTCATTTAACTATGCTGATAAACTTAAATTTCAATGAATGCACTTCATGTAAATGTAAAAATATACAACACAGTGTTGATTTTATGCTCATTATGTTACGGTTCTGAATAATGCAATGAAATTACATTATTCAAAATTAAGGATTAATATTCAAAATTAGGGTTCTGTCAGTATCTCAGAATCCTAGAAATTTATCCAGCTCTTTTGTTATTGAAGTAAGAATACTAAAAATGATTTTTTTAAGAAAAGTGTCTTGACCCTATACGTAGTCTACTAGATTTTCAGAGATCTCTTCAAATTGGTCTAAAGTCCATGAATTTTTTTTTTAAAAAAGACACGATGAATGACTGTGCAAACAGGCTCTTGTGTATTGCACCCCTTAAGGCCACTAGAAGTCCTTTCTATACATTCATTCTGCTGAGATGTAGTATCTATTACTGTAATAGCATAATTAACTAAGCCTCATTCAATAGCCACATAAAGGGTAGTTAAGTCTTTAAAACATAAGAACAAATGAGCCATTCAATTTATTGAAAAAATAAACAAAAACCCGTTCCTGTTACTTCACATATTCGATAGATTAGTCTAAGACGGTGGGCACTGGTTCAAGTCTTACCCTACCATATACAAACTGCCTGATTTGAGATGCATTTTCCGACCTTCATAAGTTTGAGTTTTCAAACATGAAAAATAAATATGAACACTACTGTTACTGCCACCACTCCTTCTAATTTCTGTGTCAAAACCTGGGGAAAGGTAGTACGGATACAGAACTCTACACGGGATGGGCGTCAACCCCAGGACAAAGTTGGTAATTACTTCTGCGACTCCTGTGCCCAATGTAAATACTGCCGTGGCTACTGCCCGCACTTCTACTAGAACTTATGACAGCTGGAGTTTCTATTCACAGTGGTGCTTTGGTATCCATGGGTAGTTGGTTCCAGGACTCCCATGGATACCAAAATTGGGGGATGCCTGAGTCTCTTATATAGAGCAGCATAGTATTTATTTGTAACCTACACACATCCTCCCATATACTTTAAATCATTTCTAGATTACTTATAACGCCTAATACAATATAAACGCTATGTAAATAGTTGTTATACTGTATTTATTATTACTATTATTATTATTATTTGAGTCAGAGTCTCACTCTGTCGCCCAGGCTGTGTCATGCTCACGGTCACCACAGCCTCGACCTGCTGGGCTCAGGCGAACCTTCTGCCTCAGCCTTCCAAGTAGTTGAGACTATAAGCATGCACCACCGCACCCTGCTAATTTATTTTTTATTTATTATAGAGATGAGGTCTCGCCATGTTGCCCAGGCTGATGTCAAACCCCTGGACCCAGGCAATCTTCTCACCTCTGCCTCCCAAAGTGCTGACATGACAGGCGTGAACCACTGCAACTGGCTATTTTATTATTATTTTATTGTTTTCTCCCAAATATTTTAAATCAATGGTTGGTTAAATTCGTGAAAGCAGAACCCATGGATATGGAGAGTACATTATAGTATTTATTTCTTTTGAATGTGTTTCTGTCTGAGATTCTGTCATGTTTACGTTCTAAATCTCTCTTATTCACTGTATTTAGAAAATAGAGGCATAACAGAAGTAAGATAGGTTATATAGTGCCATTCTGCTTTTCAATAATCAAGTGGCAGTTATTTAATCAACATCCGGTGAAACTCAGAAATACAGTTAGCCAAAGGAACACTTTTTTTGGTCCTAAGGGGTGATTTAGTCCTAAGTAACAGGGTGGCTGCCATGATGCAGCCAGTACTTACTCAGTCGTTTCAGAGAGTTTCTACTACACAATTAGAGGGAAGGGACTCTGAGGAAAATGTGGTTCAAAACTTAATAGCACCTCATGCATCTAACGGTGTACTTATAAGCGTTCCTGGATCCCTGCTTCTCTTCTACTGCAGTAAAATGAAATGTAGGGGGAAAAAAATAGTCATCCTATGCTTACCACCTACAAAGATGCATTCCTTCTCCTATTTTGAATGCTTCAAGTGTACCATTTCCAATGTATTTTCGTCTCTGACTTTGTGAGTTGGTTCCCATCACAGGAAATGCATCCTCCAAATTATAGTCCAGTTCACCACTATGCACCCAAACAGCCTGGCTGAATAAAAACAACCACCCAGTAATTTTGTAAAGAGTTGCTCAAGGGTGCCCTGGGGCGGTGCTGGATGAGGTAGACAGAGGATGGAAGTGGTTTGGCTTCCTAGTCTCTCCCCAGCCCTTTCTTCTTGTTCTATGAAGTTCTTTCTTAGGGAATTTAAAGAAAATAACTTTAAAGTTTTCCAGTCTCTGATCATTGCTAACAGTGTGCAAATGACAAAATATTTCAGTGTAAAGGACACAGAAGAAATATAAGCACGGGAGAAATGTTTCAAGTCGCCGTGTCGTCGTAGACCTGAAAACAAAGATTCAGCTTTCACCCCCCTCTTACCTGCTGGAATTCTTCCATCTGTGAGAAACAGGTCGCTGAATCCTTCGCCCAGCAGCCTGTCTATTGGAGAATCTCGTCCCAAATCATAGTCACTGTCTCCTGCTTCACTGTCGCCACGGCCACTGTCTTTCAGGCTAAATTTGTCCATGTCTTGGAGGGCGTATCTAGAAAGATAAAGCAGGGAACATTGTTTTCACTCGTCTGCATTTATGTTGAGGCTTAATAGGTAACCCAAGGATAATGCATACCTATAGCTCCTGGAATATTTGTTTCCTCGAAAACTTGGCCTTGGCTGGTATTGCCCCTGGTGAAGCATTGAAAGAAGCTGGGAGACCTGCTGGAAACCAAATAGACACCACTGATTGCTGGAAACAAATCCTCAGACACAAGCTTTAAGCATGGAAAAACACTCGCTTGTTATTTCACACTAAGTACCTGAACACGCTATCTCTGTTTCAGAGATTTGCATACGCCAGACTGAGGCAGACCACACAGCCAGCCACCAACTATAATTGAACTACATATCCCAGATTTGGATGAGCTTACACAACAGATTTTTCCTTTTGAAAGAGAACTAACTCCTTTTAAATAACTGACCGATTTCCTTGACAGTTCAGATCAAGTGACCAGCTGTAAGACTACATGGAAAATGCTGTAAACTATAACACTGTAGCATGTAGTTTAAAAAAAAAAGTCAGAAAATTCTCCAAAGTTGGATAGAGAGAGCATGCAGCCGACATGGGATTCTGGAGGCCTCCATTTATTTTATTTCTTCAGCAGAGACCATAACTGTGAGAATAAAGCCAGTTCCTTTACTGTTTGGCTTTCGGATTTCTTAATCTGAGAAGTACAGAGAACCTAATTAGAGGGTCCTTTGTGAGACCCACATTTATATTTAAATATTATACATACTACATGCAAGACAATGATTTAAGAAAAACTAAAAGGTGTGCATACTTGCTACATAAACACAGTGTAACTTGTACCCTGTTTAATTTGCCTAGGGTTGGTATTATTACCTATGACTGAACACATCTAAGAACTAAGAAGCACAACTTTTGAACACCAACAGCTGACGCTGTCAGTGAGCTGATGTAGTTTATGATCTTACCTCAACAGCAGGAGTGGCGTGGGTGAGTTCTAACGAGAAATTCTCTGGCACGTGGTTGGATGAGATTGTCACCAAACTGTTGAGGGACTGGTGACTATTGTGGCTCTGCCGGCTGCCCATCTGCCCTCTTTCCAAGGTGGGCGATGACGATGGAGACGATCTGTGATGAGATCTGATGGGCAGGGTGCCATTTATGGTGGGCACCAATGTGATGTCCCCTTTGTGAATCTGCCTGGATGGTCTTTTGGGGTGGTGCTGGTAAGTTGATTCTGCCACCCTGCAGTTGTAGGATCTAGTGTCTTTCTTTTCTCTGTTACACCTCGTTGCAAAGAGCACCATAATAACCAACAACACCGCACAAATTGCACCTAAGGAAATAATTATTATCATGGAGACATCCGGGGAGGCCTGGCTTACTGAAGTCATTGCTGTACTTGTCACGGTCTCTGCATATTCAAAGATCATGCATTTCAGAAGGACTTTGGTATGCAGCTGAGGACTGCCTTTGTCCTGAATGACAACTGAGAGCTCCCATTCTGTATGGGGAACAGAGTCCATGCTCACATTGGTATGGATGTCACATGTTCGTGGATCAATTATGAAGATATTCTCCTCATTACCTGCAACTATGGAGCAACTGAGTTCAGCGTTCACACCAGAGTCTCTGTCAATTGCCCTTATCCTTGTGACATGGAAGCCACTTTCAGCCCCTTTGGGGATGGCGATTTCTGCGGTATTATTACGTAGTGCAGGCCCTGTCACCACAGGGACGTTGTCATTTTCATCAATGATGGTGAGCACAACTGTGGTATTGCTTACAAGTTGCTTGGGTCTCCCCCCGTCTCTTGCTTCTACCACAAAAGTGATCTGACTCACTTCTTCATGATCAAACATTCTGAGGGCATAGATGGCTCCATTAGATGGGTCAATGGTTACATACGTAGTTATGGAATGTCCTAGGATAAAACTCTCCAAGATGGTATAGGTCACCTGTCCGTTTTCTCCCAGATCAGGATCCGTGGCTGTCACAGTGGTGATATATGCCCCCGGTGAGTTATTTTCTGAGATTACAAATTCATATCGGCTTCTCTCGAAGCGTGGTGGATTGTCATTTACATCATTGATTTGAACAGTAAAATGTTTCACCGTGGTGAGACTCGGTGTCCCCTTGTCCTCAGCAATCACAGTCAAACTGTACTCAGACCTCTTTTCTCTATCCAGCGTGGCATTGGTCTTAATTAAATAATTGTTTTCGTAAGTCTTCTGAAGTTTAAAGTGACCGTGTCCATGAAGCTTACAAACTATTTCTCCATTCAGCCCAGAATCCTTGTCCTGAACGCTGACCAAAGCAACAGGTGTGTCAACGGGATCCCCTTCCAAAACGTAAGATACTTCTTCTCTTCCAGGGGGCATGAGGTTGATGCTAATCTCAGGCTTGTTGTCATTGACATCCACTACCTTAATTATAATTTTGCAATGGGCCGGGATTGAATTCGGACCCAAATCTTGAGCCTGAACATCGATCTCGTAGGACTGGGTGATTTCGTAATCCACTGGCCGGAAAAGAGTCAGATGCCCCCGCTCTGAGTCAATTTTAAAAGTCTCTATAATTTGGGGAGACACATGACTGCTGAAGGAATACACAATTTTCCCATTGGCGCCCTCATCTGGATCCGTGGCATTCAGATCCAAGAGCAAGGTACCCACGGGGGAGTTTTCTAAGAGTTGTATGACATACGACTGCTGCTCAAAAGCAGGGCTGTTGTCATTGGAGTCCGAGATGCTGATCTTCAGCACGGACGAGCCGGACCTCTGGGGGACCCCCCTGTCGGAGGCGGTGAGCCGAAGCTCGTAGCTCGACTTCAGCTCCCGATCCAACTCCCGGACCACGATGAGTTCCGCATACTTGGCCCCGTCGGTGCGGGTCCGGACCTCGATGCTGAAGAAATCATTGGCCGAGAGAGAGTACGAGTGGAGGGAGTTCTCCCCGACATCGGGATCAAACGCGCTGTCCAGAGGGATCCGGGTGCCCACGGCCGCACTCTCGGAGATCTCGATGGGTATGAGGGCTCTGGAGAACTGGGGGGCGTTGTCGTTGATGTCCAGCACTTCCACCTCGACGTGGAAAAGCTGCAGGTGGTCCGTGGGCAGCGTGATCACGTCAAAGTCGATGGAGCAGTTCAAGTTCTTCTGGCAGAGCTGCTCCCGGTCGATCGCGGCCCCGATGCTGAGCTCGCCGGTGTCCTCGTTGAGCACGAGCAGCGGGTTCTCCCTCTGCATGACTCGAAAGCGCACGGAGGCCGGGTTGGGCAGCTTCAGCAGCACGTCGGCCACGTCCTCGGAGAGGCGCGCGACCACCGAGCCGACCCTCTGCTCCTCGTAAATCCGGTACCGCAGGCTGGTGCCCAGCACCTCGCGGCGCA